CAAAGTAAATGTATACTTAAAATGTAAACAAATACTGAAAAAAATGGATTCGAATGGACCTTTATATTGATGAATAAAGCTGAAAATTTGCAACTCAATCCGAATAACAAATCAACAATCGTTGGACTGAAACGCCGAAATTGCGAACCGGAACCTCGAATCGGCACCGAAACTCAAACTAGGAATGGACTTGGAGGGAAAGTGTTACCAATTGAAATGACCACTGTACTTTTAGGATGAAGGAAAGGGACTTGACGCTGGCAGCTGGATTGATCTTTTTTGAAGAACACTTCAATGGTGTTACAGATCTAACAGAAAATCATATGTTGCGACTAAATGGAGAAAGGAAGAAACCAACTAGAAGCTAAGTGTATCCTTAATTAGGTGAAGTAAAAGAGAGTATTAGATTTTAGTTTACTCATTTTTGTCCCTAATTGATTGAGAAGAATACAACTTTTGCTCTCCGTTTTTCCTTTTCAATCGTCCACACTTTACTGTATTCCCCAAGTTGTAGTTCCTTTTTTTATGAGAGCTCGGTCCGGCTCTCTTTAGAAATTGTTTGGCTGTCGTTTTTTCTCTTAGCTTAAGAGATTAAAAAGGTAGGTTAGGGTCTAGTTATAATTGGGTTTAAATATGGGTGTAAGAATTGACATGGGCCATTAGATTGGAGGGGAATCGATGACTAAGATTAAATCTTGCATTTTAAGTGAAGAGTGGGCTAATGAATTGAGAAGAAATGACATTTGTTTTGTTGTGCCACTAAAATCGGAAAATGAGCTCCCAATTGGCCCAAATTCAATTCTTTCTTATTGAACAAAAATAAAAATAAAAATACTACCAAAATATACTAATTAATAAGAGAAGAAATATTATAAAACTATTTTTGTGTTTTTAAACTTATGTTATTAAAATTAAAAATTGACTGAAATCCTATTAAAATAAAAATAATAAATATTTTTAAAATACTACTTTTAAAAATTGTGCGGGTCAAAAATTGCGTGCTTACAAATGTAACTCCAAAAGGCACTTATAGAAAATTATTAAGAGATTGTCGTGTTAATTGAAAGCTAATTTCTCTAACCTTACCCTTACTTTATATTACCAAAATGTAAGTGATGAACTAATCAATTTATATAGGTAGTGACTTGATTTGATACGTTCGTCAAATAACCCGTGTACTGACAAGATTTATTCTTCAAAAACTATTAGTTAGTTACGAACTCATTTGTTTTTCATAAAATAATAGTTAGTCATGAATTGATTTGCTTTTCTATTATTTACTCTTGTCGGAATACATACTTGTAGTTGTATACTACTGCATATAACATATTAAAGCTTGATTTATGCTGAGTGCCAAGCTTATTTCTGTTCCAATGCTTAATATATAGTTGGGGGATTCCTACAACCTTATTCTTAATGTAAAGCTTCAGAAATATGTTTATAGACGAGCACTCGCATATAAAGCAAAAGACAAGATGTTTTGAGTTGTGAAATAATCGTAGCTACCAGCTGTCGTATACCATATAATCTCTGGGAAGAAATCTATTAATATGGAAAAGGAGAGGCAAACCAATAATACAGCTCCAAGTGTCAATCCGGGAGATCGACACGTGTTAATGTTTAAGACAACACTCCAATAAGATTGGAGATTCAAAAAAATTACAAAATAAAAAAATAATTTGCAGCTTTTAAACCAAAAATATGTTTCAGTTAATTCCCTTAAGATCCCACGTTAATTTGTACCAATACAAAGCATTGATATGTTTCAGTCATTTCCCTAAGACTTCACGTTTGTGTAGCCATCTCAGCCCCAGTTTTTTGGGCTCCCATGTTTCTTCATCCATGATCATCTATTCAAATTTTTGGACTCCCACGTTTCTTACTCCATAACTTAGAAACTGTCTAATAATGTCTCAAATATATGCTCCCTCTTCTATTTTCTTTTCTATTCTCTACTCCCTTTTTTCCTCTACTCAAAATATAGAAGTTTGCAAATATGGCTACAACACTTCATGAAATCTATCAAATTTCAAGCAACTCAATGCAATGGAATCTCAAAGTTAGAGTCGTTCGAATGTAGGAAATGCCGAATCGTTTCAATCCTGAAAAAACATATCCGATTGAGTTGATTTTACAAGATGCAAAGGTAACATATTCAACTTCACATAGTTCTAAAGTTTTTCTTCTTTTCTGGTTTTATGGATAAATTTTTCACAACACAAAGTAGTAATTGTGAAAAATTATATGTAACTCAGTACTCTATTTGTGTTAAAGTTATATTCACAACAGTACTCTATTACTGTTGTATTGGTTTTACTTTTGAGCTTTTTCCTCTTCTGTTGTTTCCTCTTCAGCATCTTCTATTTCACTGGCTAACTTCACCAGATCTTGGATGAGAATTTTTCTCTCCTGTTACAATATATACCAACTAACAGTTAATACTTTGTGGGAGAAATGATATTATTAAGGATATCGATCATAGACAAATAATATAGCATCCTCTGCCCAATTTTTTTGCAACATCTTCTATTCTGGGACATTTGACATTTTTAAAATAACACAGCAATAATTTAAAATAATATTCGCAAGTTTGTTATTAAGATGGTTAGGACGTACATAACGAAACTTGACTCACATATGAAACGATTATGTGCGATTTACGTTTCTGTTTCTACATATATGCAATTAATTAGCAATATGATACATCCTAATAATGAAACTATTTTTTTAGGGTGATCGTATCCAGGCCTCGATTGGGAAGTATGTAATTAAGTTTTTTCAGACCAAGATACAGGAACTCAGCTTATATCGCATGAACTACTTTGTTGTCAGACCAAACAACTTAAATTTAAAGAATACGATACATAATTTGAGGCTGACATTTACACAAAGGACAACAGTTGAGGAAATAATTGATTCTTCACTTCCTATGAATATCTTTAACTTTCGTCCTTTTGATCAGCTAACAAATCAGAATGATGTCGATGAGGCAGAACTAATCTGTAATTCTTCTCTTCCATTATTATCACGTTTTACAAAATTGTCTAACTAACTTTTATATTTGTAGATGTTATTGGTCAGATTGTGATATATGAAGATGTTAAGACCCACAAACAAGGAGATAACAATAGTGTCTTTCTCAATGTTACACTCGAAGATGATCAGTAAGTTATTTACTGATACAAACTATACTTTTACAGCTTAATTGTTTATACTATTTTGTTAATTAACGATTACCGTGAAACTTATAGGAAGAACAAGATTACGGCAACGTTATGGAGTGAACTTGTGGATCAAATTCAGCCTCACTAAAATGGAGCTATAGACGAACCTTTGATTGTTGTTTTACAATTTATGAAACCTCAAAAATTTCGAGGTTTACCAACTTTATTCCTATATTTAAAATTTAGTATAAAAAAATAATATAATTTATAATTTTTGATTTATCTTATCTACAGGTAACTACTCAGTGCGTAGTTGTTGGTACTCTACAAAACTTTGGATTAATTCTACTCTGCCGCAGTATGTTGAGTTTAAATCTAGGTTTGTAAAGGGTGTAATTTCTTTTTCCCTGTCTACTTACATAATGTTACTAAGATTTATCACTTTTACCACGTTGCGATTTATGCAGATTAGTTGCAACATGTCAAGCTAACTGTGAGCGGATTACTCAAACAAGCTCTCAACAAAGTTATTCTGTCAGAGATGAGTTAGCCAAAGGAATTGTATTGTTTAAAACTATTACGGATTTAGTTCAGTGTACAGAACTGAGTTAAATTTAGTATTCAAGTTATATTTACTTTATGTTTTCCCAGTTTAACTTAGAACAATATTTTTGTTCTTAAATAGCAATGTACCTACTGAATTGCTGTAAAAGTGGTGAATTTGGAACTACAACGAGGATGGTCATACTTGACATGCAACAAGTGCACTAAAAAGGTTGAAAAAATTGGGAACAAATTTTTTTGTAAGAAATGCAATGAAGAACAATGTTCTGTTGGTCACATGTAATTTTCATATCATATGATTTTAAAATATATAAAAAGAAAATGCACAACATTAAAAAAATTGGACTTGCAAGTATCGACTTCAAGTTTGTGTTATTGATGGAACCTCTTTTATCTCATTATTGCTTTGGAATCGCGAAGCTATGCAGATTATAGGAAAGTCCGCAAAAGAATTGAAGCAAGGATTAGTTGAGGTATACTAATCAACTTAATTTAGTTGTCAATTATAACTTTTCTAACCTATGAAATTTGGTGTAGGCTTCTATTGTGGATGACGACCGTTCTTATCCAAGTGAACTGGATGATATTCTTTATAAAAGATTCATGTTTAAGGTTATTGTGAAGCCATCCAATATTAAAAAAAAAGACCAAGTCTATATTGTTGTGAAGATAACTGATGATTGCAATCTCTTAAATGAATACTGCCACTCTTCACTCAAAGACACATTTAGTATAAATATCTTCTTAGCAAATTCCAAATACATTAACGACAATTAAATTAAGTTGTCTATCAATATGTTACCTTCATAAATTAATGTTTATTTTATGATACTTTTCATTGTAACAGGAATCAGAGATTCCTGAGGGACAAAGTTCAGGTGGAGTGAAGCTATTTGGGGTAATCATCCAAAAATTAATAGTGTTTATTAGTTATTTAGTTTTTAAGAAATAGTAAAAATTATACAATCAAGACCTTTACCGCTCTCCAACTGCTTCTACACTTTTTCTATTTTTATAGGATTTTATGGCCGAAAGTCAAATTACGTCTACTTCACAAACTCCCATCAAAAAGGGCATATCAGAAAGTGGATCATCTGTGGTAGAAGATGGTGATGATTGGAAAGCAAAAGTATCTCCTTTGAAGACGTATGACAAGAGAACTAGACCTCCAATAAGGCATCCAGAGTAGTAGCAGATAACGACCTTAATTGTCAACTTTCTAGCAACAAGGTTCGAAAAGGAATTAAAAAAGTAAAGAATCCATAATTAGCGGTACTGGAATGACTTTACCTTTAAATTTTATTTTTCCTTATCTAAGTAGGTTTTGAAAGGAAGTACTGATAGTCGACAATCATTTCTTAGTTTTCTCTTTCAGTTATTTTTTTCTGAATATGTTAGTTATTTGAACTAATCGAATATTGAATATATTTGTTGGTGAAGTCAAGATTTCAATTCAACCTTTCAATATTTGTACGATACATATTCGATAGTCGTTAGCTCATACTTGGGACTGTCCGTGAAACTTTAAAAATTTGTTGCATATTCTGTTACATAGCTAAGTATTGCAGTCGCTAAGAAACAACTTTATAGGTTGGTTTTTTTGGATTTAATAGATGAGTTTTTGGTGCCTTGTGAACTGCTTTTATGCAGTTTCAAGTGATTATTTACATGGCTATTCTTTATTTATTATCGTGGTGGGTCGATGGAGTTTAAGGGTGGTTTTAATGGAAGTTTAGAGGTGATTCATGGTTGGTCTGCAGCAACTATGGTGGTTTTAGAGCTGCATTTTTAAGGGGTTCAGGTGACCTTTCGGATTTATTTTGTGTGGAGATTTTCGCTGCGTTTTTTTCATGGTTGATTTGACAAAATCTTTACAAAGTTGCTGCATATTTTGTTAAACAACTAAGTGTTGCAGTTGCTAAGAAGCAAATTTATAGGTTGTCGTGTTGTATCGATGGAGTTTAAGTGTGATTTTAATGGAGGTTTATAGGTGATTCATAGGTGGTTTCCAGCAACTATGGTGGCTTTAGATCTGCATTTTTAAGAGGTTTAGGTGACCTTTCTGACTATTTTTTTTTTGTGCAGATTTTCGCTGCGTTTTTCTTTTGATTTTCATGGTTGATTTGACAACAACTATGGTAATTGGAACTCTATGTATTTAATGATCGGAGCAAGTTAAGAAGATAGCAAAGATATTTACATTTGCATTACTTAAACATATTTACATGCATTACCATATGCTCTAATTCACATGGAAAATGGAAAATATCGTGACAGCTTCACAATCCCAAGCAACTTAACTTTTGTTTGTAGTTTGCCCAACTAACCTCTGCTTTGCTAATTTGAGAATAAGCCAACTCTTTCTTTAAATCAAGAAATTCTGCTTCCATTTCTTTCTATGCAACTAACTTAGCAGATAATGTATTTTTCAGATTCAATCCTTCTTCCTGAATGGCTCTCTTTTTCATCTCTGCTTCGTTTAGGCTTTCCTTCAACTCTAAAATTTGACTTATGATGAATTCGTAGACGTATCAAGTTCATTGAGATGTTGTTTCAGATCATTATAACGGTCCTAACCTTTAATGAGCTCGTCCATCAGGATTACCTCATTTAAGTCCCTTTTACCTCATTAAATCCCTTTTATCATGTTTGTATTATATTTTACAGAAAGTGAGTGTGTCTACAGATACCTGATTGAGCTTCATGAGACCATAGGATGTCTAGAATCACTTATTCTTTTGAATCTCAGAAATTGCAAAAATTTGTAGAGACTTATTCACTAATTTTGGCTCATTGTTATTGTTTTGTGACTTGGTAAGTATATGTCTAATTTCAGAAAAGCAGAATTTGTGCAAATACTTCGACGTCTAAGCATTAGGTTCTCTAGAGGAAGCACAAAATACAAGGGAGCGACGATGCACAAATATGGACAATGGGAAGCTCAGTTTTTGCACTTTCTCAGTAAGAAGTAACTAACCGCTTATATCACTATAGCTTAGGAATGTCATAATATCAGTGACATAACTGTTAAAAAGCTTGCTTGATATATTATCATATTATTATACATATTTTATAAAGAAGAAAGAATATCGTGTAATTGCATATATGTTGTTGTATATCTATCTAGGACTGCTTGACAATGAGATGGAAGCTGCAATGTCTAATGACCCTAACTTGACTCTCCCACTCCCTTTTCTGTTATGTCGTTTTTGGACCAGGGCGTACGATAAGACTGCTATAAAGTGCAACAGAAGGAAGGCAATTACTAATTTTGAATTGACCACATATGAAGGGGAATTAAGTTCAGATGTCGATAATAGAGGTAATATACTAAGGCTTTACCACAAAATTTTACTACTTTATGATTTTTTACCCTTTTTAGTTATGTAATTATCATGTTTAACAATATGTTTTTTCCATTTGTGTTAGGCTGCCTTCGTAATCTATTGAACTAGGGAATAGCCCCATCTATTTTAGCTAATGATCAGAATGACATCACATGAAAAATGAAAACTCTAACAAAGGAACATTGATAAATTTTTTTTATTAGTTACACATCCTTTAGCAAATTTTTAGGAACTTAATTCCCTTTGGTAAAGTTCCAAATCGATTACTAACATCCGATGATTGTGCTATAACCGAGCTTTGGTTACTTGACCTGTAGCACCAGGTGTTCATCAGTTTAATACAAAAAGTCATGAAACAAAGAGAAATAGCTTGACGCTAAAGTGAAATAAAAATGATATTACAGCAAGAACTGAATATGCCCTTTGAAAGTACTCATGAAGGTCTATCGTAAATGAATCAACAACTCTTGTGTTAGATTCATATGATACCACATATTTACTATGGTGGTATACAACTCACTGTCTGGAAGGCTGTAGGATGAACAGACACATAGGATTTCTGTAGGAAAGACACATGAAGTGGGAAACTTTACCTATACTGCTTTCATTTATGGGTATTGTAAAATGGAAAAATTTGATGCTTCTTATGAATTCTTGCGTATAGTGAATGACAGTAAATTGTACACTAACATAGGCCTTTTCATGGTTACTATTGTTTATCATTTAAAGTTCTTATGCTATGATTTGTAAGCTTTAGTATTCTGTTTTTGCTGTACTATATATGCTTTTTCATATATTGTAATTTAGCATATGACTTGGTGTTTTGACTTGTATGGTCCTCTTACGATTGTGTAAATAATTTGTTGAATCTTCATCTTCACTTTTACCTTCCGCTTTTCTTTTCTTGGGAGAATAAACAGTGTCGTAAAAGTAAACTTTATAGACTAGAAAAATAGCTTGACAATATTACATGGTTCCATTTTGTTGGTATCTGAATGTGTAATCTGGCAAATCTCCCTGGGATTTTTCAGTCAAACATTTTTTTTTATTTTTAAATTATCTATCTATATTTGCAGGCAATCACTTTATTTAAATGGTACAGTTGCAGAAAGATGGACTAGCAATCATCCTTTCACTTTTCATTGGTTGCTTCTAGGTATGACATAGTAGTTAGAATAAGTTTTATTAGTAAATATATAATCGAATTATTTGAATTAAAAATCAAACTGTTATGGTGTTAAATTTTAATATTAGTTTCATGGCATAATTCAGAATGAACACATTTGTTTGGAATAAAGCTGACACATGAGAGGGACTAAAAGAAAATAAATTTTTGCAAATTTTATATCTCCGAAATTCTATAAAATACATACACTCTCTTAATCAGTTAAATAAGGACACATTATAAATATAAAGTGTTTAGCAATATAGTTATTTGATATAGAAATATCAAATCCTTTCAAACAGAAACATAGCTATTTGAAAGTGTTTGGCTACTTTATATTTATATTGTTATTTCCCAAGGAATGCTGATGTTTAGAATGTTCACTCAGTTCCACAATTTCATGGAGGCATATATGACTCGCAGTAAGAAAATAAGTGACTAAATACTATTCTTTCAGCGTACTATTCTTTCAGCGTTGGTTGATCATATCCTTGATGAAGAAAGGACTGGAAAGACAATTGCAAAATATTGGATGGTTTACTGGAGATTCATCTTCTCCAGTAAATCACATCTATTCTTTAATATCGGATAGACTCCATATGCTACTAGCAGCTTTTGTGGTTACAAGATTATGACCAGACTATTGCCTCCAATAGAGCAGACTATAATGAAGTAGTTCTTATCCAATTCAACCCTGATATTTGAGGTATTTAATAATTCTATTGATGGTAATTCCAGTAAGTTGGTCGATTTATTTGATCAATTAATGTAGAAGCATACTTTAACTCCTTATGGATTAGTAGGAGTATTTATTTGGTCTCTCTTTAAAAAAAAAATTTGTTGTCGGGCAACTTATTAAAAGGAAGTAGCAAGCCGTTGGATATATTAGCAAAGTTAGATGAGTTAGATAGTTTTTCGCCTTACGAAGAAATTAAACTTTTTTTAGGTTGATTCTTCTTCTTCTTCTGCTAAGTTTTTAACTCATAATGAGGAACAACCATTTTACCGATCAAAAACAAGACCAAATATTTCACGCTCAAGCCCATTTTTAACAAGTCACTTGGGATTGGTAGTCCTTGCCAACAATAATATAGAGACAGCCCGTTGAAATTCATCTATTTATTTTTCGTTTTAATTGTTTTGATTGCGATACTAAATTTAATCTGCAATATATATAT